TTGTATTGCTGAACCTGCTAAAGTTGATTTTTTCCCATAGTTGTCTCTGTCCACATAGCATGATGTAAATAGAGGAATTTAGCGAAAAAATCAAGTTCAGTAGGTAGAGCAAGCACAAACGAACAGGCCTATAATTTGTATAATACAAATGTGACATATTAACAGGGACATTTTTTCGCCACTAATAATGTCAGACAATATTTTCTCAATAAGTTTTCAAAATTCTTTTTCAATTCTGAAACAGAGTCTCTTCACACTTTTTGAATGGGTGTTTTAGACACTAAACCCTTATGCAGGAAGAGTCGAAAAGCGTCTAAAAAACGTAAACGTCACGGAAGCCTCACGTATTGGTCGTCAAATATGTTTTTGAATTTTTCACGTTTTTTCGACACTTTTTGACGCATGCGTAAAGCTTTCGTGACGATTTTGTGACGTTTCCTAGCTCATATATATTTAGAATAGGGGAAATAGGGACAAGAAAAGGATGAGAAACTACCGAGAAACTGTATAATGACTATACAGGTTGTTTCCTAACCACGGTTCCTAACTGCGAGGGTGATGTGTTAGGTCATTTTAAGAAGAAAAGTTCCTATGGATATATGTTCGGAGTTGCTTCGTTTCTGAGATACAGGGCGTTGAAATTGAAGACAAAAAACGGTAATTAAAAATATCATGAATATTCTGGAACCGATTTGGTTGAAATTTGGTACTTTTATTTGAACTGATAAAGCGCTTATTTAGCCCTATTTAGATTGAAATAATTGGGGCCAGTAGCGTCTCAGTGGGCACCACAGTCAACAATATTGTAAAAAAAAGTAGGCCATTGACTTTTTTTGGTAAACTTTTATTTTCATCATAATTATCTAACTTCGTTTTCGAGGAAAAACAATACAAAACAATATCACAGAAAATGAGCAAAATGTCCACCTTCTGATAAAATACACGACTGATTCGCCATTGATTGTCTGACACATTCAAAAAATCCTGGATTAGTCCTTATTACATTGGAATTGTTGATTATTCGGTTCCTCAAGTCATTCACATCTTGTACAGGAGTTTTATAAACAAGAGCCTTCAGATGACCCCATAAATAGAAATCTGGAGGATTCATATCAGGACTGCAAGCTGGCCAATGTTGAGGTCCTGCACGTCCAATCCAGCGATTAGGGTAGGTAATGTCGAGATGCTGACGAGCAAGAACACTAAAATGAACTGGAGCCCCGTCGTGCATAAACCACATGTTGCCTCTTACAAGTATGGGTTCTTCTTCTCAAAAAATGGGTAAATGATCCCGCAAAAAGTCTGTGTAGGATTCACCTGTTAATCTTTCTATCAGAAAAAATGGGCCAATTAGGTACTCACCAATAATTCCTACCCAAACGTTCAGCGAAAAATGATTTTCTCTAATAGTATAGGGATTCTCGTCGGCCCAAAATAGTTATTGTGAAAGTTCATAATAGCATTTCGTGAAAAATTTGCCTCGTCGTAAATAAAATATTTGGGAGAAAACTATTATTGTATTATTGTAATCTTGGATGAAAATCCCGAGGCAGTAGAGCTTGGACCCGCTGTATGTGGTATGGGTATAGGAGGTTTCTTTTTAGAACTCTCCAAACGGTTTTTGAGCTGACTCCAAGCTGCAGTGCAATCTTCCTGGTACTATTCGAAGGATCTTCTTCTATCGCATCAAGTATAGCTTCTTCTAGTTCAGGCGTTGTTACCGTTTCTGATCTTCCACCACCTGCATTTTGATCGAAACTCCCAGTTTCACATAATCTTGCATGTAGCGTTCTAAATGTTACAGCGCAAGGAATTACTCTGTTAGAATATCTGTCCTGGTAATTTCTTCGTGCTTCTCCCGAATTTCCATTTGCTATTCCATGAATAAGGTGCATGTCAGCCATTTCAATGTTAGAATAATTATTCATGATGGAATTGACAACTGAATTTTATTGCATTGACAATATAATGTTGTCAAATGTCAAATATTGACAAGTGAATTGATTCGATAATCAAATGCGACGTTAAAAAATTTTCTAAACTTTCAGTATATCAAGTGTCAATTATATTTTTGGCGAAAATAATGAAAAACTCATCTCTCCAATGAAGGTATTCATGATATGCAATAGAGTGGCTTTAATTTTTTTTCCTCGAAAGCGAAGCTAGATATGAAGAAAATACAGGATACCAAAAAGTTGTATTTTGAGTTGCTTAATTTGAAAAAATAAAAAAAAGTACGGAAAAAGTCAGTGGCGTACTTTTTTATACAATATTGTTGGATGTTGTGCCCACTGAGACGCCACTGGCCCCAATAATTACAATCTTAATAGGGCTGAATAAGCGTACTATTAGTTCAAATCAAAGTACCAAAATTTCAACCAAATCGGTTGAAGGATATTCATAATATTTCATAATAACCTTTTTTTTTTCTTCAATTTCACCGCCCTGTATCTCACAAACGAAGTAACTCCGGACATATGTTAATAGGAACTTTTCTTCTCAAAATGACCTGACAAATCATCACCTGCAGTTAGGAACCGTAGTTAGGAAACACCGCCCATGGAGATCCGGTGGTGTGGTAGGTGCACCACTAATATTTTGTTAAAATATTCATGACTAGATATGAAAAAAGTTCTGAACAGCCTGATAGTCTGAATTAATGAGACAAAGGTGTTTTTCCTGGTATTAATAGGAATTTAAGAATCACCATGTAACTAATTTTCATTCGTGATTTAGTATCGCAATCATAATTCACGTGTATAATACCAACAAACAGAAAAGCAAACCTTCCCCGCGTCAGATTTGTTCTCCCGATTTAATGAAACGACCCCGATCTTGCACAGCGGCGATATCGCAACAGTGAAAAAAACAAGCGAATAAATCTCCGGAAGAATGTAATAATGATAATAATATCTAATTTGTTTTGATTTATGTCGTTTTTCCACCGCAGGATCCTATCGGATGCAAGGGAGCTTTCCACTTTTCCGAATCTGAATGGCACCAGCGCTTTGGAAATCCTGAGATTGGACAGGGACGGGATCACGTCAGTGCCGTCTTCATTGTGTACCACGTGCCCTAAATTGAAGAGTTTGTAAGTCATAAGAAATCCGAATTAGATTAGTTTGGAACTATAAAAAATTGGAATAGTTTTTGTTTGCTATATACCGGGTGTCCCGTGCCTCGATGCCCATAGCTTAAGCGCATATTCCGGTGAAACTGCATTTATCATGCGATGGGTTTTTCTTCGAAATTTTTTTTGGTACTCACGTATTTTCATCTGAAAAACTCGAATTTGATGAATGCATGAAAATGTGAACAAACCATTATTTATTGAGATATTTCACTATAAAGTTACAAATTTCACCTTCTTTCCGCCTGTCTTCTGGATCGCACTTAGAACATTTTGCTTTTTTTTTTCATCATTGTGTTAAGGTAGGTGTGTATGTAAAATTGTGACGATTTCTATACATATATGTATGTTCAAAGAAAAATAAATGAATTGAATTGTACGACATAATTATGTTTTTCTATCATATGAGTCAACTAGAAATATGAGTTTTTTGTGATTTATCCATTTTAAGTGAAAAGAAGGGCGAATATCATTCAAAATAATGCAATCTGTTGATATTTGACATCTCGTATTTGGATTGACTATTGATTAAATGGCCGTCATCTGGTATGCTTGTTCACTGAATATGAAGAACTTGTCATAAAAATCATATTTTCTGTTGAATTTACTATATAAAAATGTGCCATTGAAGTACAGTCGCATTAAAAAAAACGTACAAGTATATTACAGAGAGAAATTAACGTCATCCTATTCTGCATAAATCGGGATATCGGGAATGATTTTTCACCAAATGTTGACAGTAAAGTTGTCATAGGTTCTCGAAAACAGAAAGCATTGGCTGATCCAGTTTTACACAACTAGAACTAGGATCCCGAAATCCTCTCTTTTTAATACTTGTATGCTTTTTCATTGAATACGACTGTACATCATGTGTATATAAAGTGTTCATTGACAAAATAAGAAGAGCAAGTACCTGTAAATGCATCCAACACAAGGGGAAAAAGAAGGCGAAATATCGAACTTTTTCTTGAAATATATCGGTAAAATAGTGGTTTTTTCACATTTTCATTATCAAATTCAGGATTTTCAGACAAAAATACGTAAGTACATACGTAAATGCAGTGTTACCCATATTCCTTGAACAAGTCGAAAGTGTCTCATACACTTCTGTCCAAAAATTGTGAAGTAATGAGCAATTTTGAGTTCAACAGAATGTGTTGAAGGAAGCAAAGGAATATTGAATAACGCAATGTTATGTAATATTTAATGATTATTGCTTACTTAGATTCAATAAAAGTTTGTGTTCAAAACGTCACCCTGCAGCCTCACGTTGCTTTCTGATTTTCTAAAGAGTATCTGGGTCGACTCGTATATGGATGCATCTTTAGTCATAATATTTTGAATTAGCTCATGGTTTGTGGTTTATTTTAATACACTAGACATTCTATGTGTCCCCTGAGATAATAGTCGAGAGGTGTTAGGTCAGGAGACCTTGGTGGCCAAAGATTCCAAAGAACTGGATCACCTCTTTTAATCTACCAGTAGGCAAAGTTGTTATTTAATTGCTCATAACTCCTTAACTATTTAGTTTTAGCCAAAATTGTATGAGGCACTTTCGACTTGAAATTGTTCAAGGAATATACCCTTGAACAATGACCATCGAGTCACGTCACACCCTGTATTTATAGTTCTCTACATCAAGATGAGTACTTAGATACTCAGTATATATATATCACTTATTTATTTTACTCCAAAAATCGAACAACTAATAATATAAGAAAAATTTTCGACATATATCTCGTTTTTTTCAACCTTTTTCTACTCAAACTACAGTAAACAATGTGTTATTTCCCTCAGAGATCTGAAATCGAACAAACTCCGAGCAGTGCCTGATCTCAACTACTGCAGAGAAATGAGAGTACTGTGAGTATTAATCCCTCAAAAATTACTTACTTATTGACCCTACCCAAGATTGCTAGAATAGACCGATGGCCCTTATAACTTCTCAATGAAATATACTGACAATGCTAGCCCATACGGAAGTATGTATGTTCTCTGAAAAAAAAAACCGTCGAAATTGTTCAATAATATGTACAGGGTGTCCCAAGAATCAAAATTGCTGGGACACAGAGCCTTCACGTGTAATAGAGATCACAATTAGTTGATTGGACCCAATTTATTTATAAACCTTCTAAAATGTACCGATTATCAGTGAGAAGGGTTCTGAGTTTGCATAAAAAAAATTCACGACTTTTGTATTGTTGAAGGTGGCAGTCATATTGAACATTTATTATGAAAAACATTTTGCCTTTGTTTCCACTGTCAACTAAATGTTGTATCACAATGCTATTGATCTTGTACTGGTAGTGTCTGTTATTAGCGTGTATTAATAAATAAAACAATTTTCCCTTCGGAAATATGGGGAGTACGGAGTTTTCACAGGACATAATTATTAATCTGTTTTTTCGTTAAAAAATTTAAGAATCGTAAGAACTTATTTTGCTCTATTGTACGTGTTAGCTCTGTGTGCCAGCAATTTTGCGACACCCTGTATAACTGTGTAGTGTGTATACCTGATGTATACTAAAAAAAAGTATATGCTAAAGAACAAGCTCAGGTTAGCAGCAGGCTGGGCAGGCAAGATGACGTCACGATTGTAAGATCTTGAACAACATTGAGGCAATCTTGTGTGGGTTTATGAATTCTGGACGTTATTTTGGTGTTAATGCAAGCGCCTATCTTCGCCATTTCCATCGATGACTTTCTGAATTCCGAATACGTAATAAAGATAGGAAATATATTTTCTGCATAAGAAAGAAGACTACTTCTTCTAAACCAAAACTGGGCTAAGTAGGTATATAAATAATATAAGCAGGAAAAATATCCATTCTGCATAAGAAAGGAAACTAATTTTTATAAACCTAACCTAACCTAACTCGGCCTGAATGAACCTTCTTTCTGGAAAGAGTATTTTTCGTTTAATTATTCGAGAGAACAAGATGAACAAAGCTGACCCTCGCAGATTTCGTGTTTTGTCAGTGACGTCATGTACGCGCGAGAATTCAGAGAGCCACCGATAGAATATAGGTTCAGCTAGACGCTTGTAATGGAAACCAACTTACAGTTTGCGTTACTTTTAGAGATCTAGCCAGTAATCATATCAGATCCATCGAAGATAAACCGTTCCGAGGGATGTACCAGATGCACGATCTGTTATTAGCCCACAATCAGATCCAGTACATTCCGCAGGACGCTTTTTACAACCTCTCGAAACTTCAAGTACTGTAAGTGACTCAAATCAGAATATTCTTTACGAGGTGTCCCACGTTCAATTAGCAGGAAAAATCTCAATTCTCGTTTTTGCTAAAAAAAGCATTAGCAGGTATATTTTTTCTTAGAAGATCTGTCACGATTTGAAAGTATTTTTTTGATTGACGAATTCATACTTTACTTCAGTAGTTAATTCCACTATCAGAAATGACAAAAAGTTCTACGAAGATGGGTCTAGAAGTGGACTTCAAGAAAGGTACAGCATCTTATCGTGTGTATTCAATAGATATAATTCAATGTTTGTCGTGGCATATACCCTTGAAAGCAATTGTTTTCTGTTGAATAAACCGAGGAAGAATTAATATTTTTCACATAGATAATGCGAATTCTCAATGTATTTCTTTAGATATATTTCCATATTTTCTTGTTCATAATTTATCTGAGAATATTCCTTTCCAATACTTTCACCCAATCAAGGGGTTCAAACTTGAACGATATGTTTTTATAGACCTTTAATCGCAGATTCGTGATTAGGTTTTCTCAATTCAGAATTTTTCCATGTTCTGTATGATGAATATCAATTCATACATTGAAAAATCTTAAAGAAGCTCTCCAGATGATGGTCCTTATCATTATTTTCGAAACTGCTCGATTTTACATCTTGGGATTTTGTAGGGTTAGTTCAGCCCTTATTTTTCAGTTAGCAATTATTTTTGCAATGTCACCACAGAAATGGAAAATCGTGAAATTTCTTCATTAAAAAGATACCTGCTCTTGTTTGACTATGATAAACTGCTCATTCGGACTTTTTTCTTATTTTTGGCGGAGGATCCTGTTTCGCCGCTTATAATGGGGGACACCCTGTATAATCGATAAGTTTGACATATTTATTATATTATATAATGGTGATAACTCTTACAGGGATTTGGAAGACAATCAGATTTCCTTCATCCACCCAGATTCGTTCATGCCAATTTCAAAAATCGAAGATCTGTAAGTAAATGTCAATAAAGAATTCCAAGTAGCGTTGAGAGAAACAAATTTGTCTTCTTCTTTTGTCCTAGTATTCAGGGTTATGGTCTTCTTCTTATTTTCTGTGTTTTCAACATGACATTTTCATAATCTCTCGTTGGAATCTTGAAGACGAGGACAGTACGAGAGAAGATGTAATTTTTGTCTCTCAATGCCAGCTAAAGAATGAAAACTGGATTTTTCGTCTTGCTTCTGGTTCTGTTATTCACCAACAGATTCCGTTACTTGGAAGTTGAAAGACTAAAGTTCACAATAGATTTGTTGTGAAATTGAACTTTAGTTGGAAAATATCATGCTTAGAAAATATCTCTTTGATTCATGAAAGACATTGGTGAAATAAGAAGCGTTTTCCTCTTTGGAAAATGTTTGGATATTGTCATCGAACTTACTGCTCAATTCGCAATATAGGTATTTTGGAAATACAGGGTGATTCGAAGTCTGATGTAAATATTTCAAGGATGTTGGGATCAAAATAAAACTTTTTTTTTTACATAAACATGTGTTCTGAAATCTACCCCCTCCAAGCTACAGCCACTGTAATTCAGGTGAAGAAAAATATATTCTGAAATTGTGGCTTGAATAACGGATTGAATCTTCTGAGAATTGGCAGGCCCGTGTCCTCTTAGACACTTTTATGACGTATTTATGCAACATTTGCATAGTAGAGGTCTTAGTTCTGAGCATAGTCTTAGTATTAATTTTTGTCTTAAACATTTTTGATTCAAGCATAAGAGCCATGTTAGAATTTGTGGTTCTTTTTGTATCAGAGATGAGGAAAATTATCTACATGAAACTTATCAACATCTGAGCTTTCTCATAATACCATTTTCGGAACATGTAGACAACAAATCATCAACAATTCTATCAAAGGAGCATGCGCCGAATCCACATAACATAAGCATAAGCATAAAAGTTCAAAATAGTCAACTTTCAAGCTCGTTTCTTAGGCTTGTGTTTATGCTTAAGGTTAAAATTGGTGTGTAAACGGCCCCATGCAAATACCTTGTTTCAACTTCTAGTTATGCTTAGAATGTGTACACCTTAGTAGAACTTTCAACTCAAACCATGTTCATAATGATCCTTTTGTACATAAATAATGATTGACGACTTAATTCGATCGAAAAATTAACTGGAATGTTTTATTTTTGGACATAAATAATAGTACCTTCTGAAAACGGACCCTCTTATGACGTAGAAACCTCATCTCGCCATAGTTAAAAGAAAATACTAAACGCCCGACGGAGACTGAGGCAACTGATATATTAATTCTTTCAACTGTGATCTCGCGCTAATTCACTCTGTCAGAAATCATGTATCATTCATCTCTGTCTGGAGAAGTCTTATTTCAGTATCAGGGTTTTGACGTCACATCATCGCCTCGTTTTCAGAGGTCCGAAAAATCTGGGATTTCAATAATTTTTTATAAAACGTAGGGAGCTCACAGCAAGAAACGGTTTGCGGTGGTGAGCTAGTTTGGGTGAGTTCTATCGAATTATGAAATAAAAATTTTTTGTGCAAATGTTGTATACATCCACCATTGATTTCATTCTTTCTTCAAAAATTATGCGAACCCAGATTTAGGGGGTTGGAGGGGGATCCTCACTTTCATTGGCCGAAATGGGGAAATTAGAACAGATGTTTATATAAAGAAAAAGTCTTATTTTTATCCCAACGATACGTCCTTAAAATTTCACATCGAATTCGAATCACCCTATATAATATCTGTCGAGATATTTTTTCCATTTCGATTCTACGACCAAATTAGTTATTCGACCTAGTGAAATCATTGATAAAGTCAGAAAGTAGCTTAATGAAGAATAACTCAACCAGCAACAAAATGAAAAATCCCGGGCATTCTTCGACCACTCTCTATATTCTTCAGCAACTTGGGCAACAACGTTTTCCCCCACCTACCTTCGGCCGGGCTGGAGCTCCTCCTCCACCTGAAGACCTTCAACAACCCCAATCTGCGCGAGTTCCCTCCACCTACAGACTTCCCCCGCATCCAGACCTTGGTGCTGGCCTACGCGTACCATTGCTGCGCCTTTCTGCCTCTCATCCCCTCCAATCCGCCGCCGGCCAAAGCGAAAGACATCATCGTGTTTCCCGACATCGAGGACATCGATCTCAATTTCTGGAACAGTTCGGTGGATTTGTGGCCGTCCCAACGTGAGTAGATTATCACGAGAAATGCGAATTTGTCTGAATGGATCTGGTCCAGGACATCCCACGGGAGTCCTCGCGGGGACTTCTACAAAATGTATAGATTGGATCTTGTATAGGTTGTTGATCGTGAGACCTTTCTGAGACATTTGAAGGGTATCCTAATAATTGTGTATAAGTATATTACAGGGAGAAATTAACATCATCCTATTTGTGTAAAACGGGATATCGGGAATGATTGTTTACCAAATGCTGACAGTGAAGTTATCATAGGTTTTCAAAAACTCAAAGCATTAGCTGAGTCAGTTTTACACAACTAGAACTAGGTTGCCGCAAACATCTCTTCATACTTGGGTGATTGACTATGGATTTCTCGACTTCAACAGCTGATATCTCGAAAACGAAAAAAGATATTTGAAATTTGGAAAAAGGTACTTGAATGAGATGTCATTTCCTTCTAGAAAATGTGTTTTCAGCTTGATTTTATCATTTCATATACAGGGTTCGTGAAAAAAAAAAGTTTTTCAAATGGAACCCCCTGTATATTATCGCATATTTCGGAAGAGCTATCTTTTCTGATTTCGAAGATATATACTTTTCATATATTCTATCGAGGACTTGACGAAATATCAGCAAAATTAAATATTAATATTTGGTCCAAGTTAGCTCAATTCAATCCACTTCTTATCATCATCATAATTGAGTTTGTGGCATGGTCTAATTCTGAAATTCCTATATTTATATTTCCTTAAGGTATGTTGAACAAAATAATAGCTGAAACCAAACTCTCTCACTGCATTTCTTATTGACCGTGAAGGATCCTCAACAAAATACTGGATTACAAGAAGTTCCTCGTCTTCGTTGTCTTGCCTTCTCACTATTCTCTTGATATTCGACAAACTGGAAGTTCTGTCGAATTTAGCAGCCAAATACTTGACATAATTCCTACTTGGTGATCTCCTGCCTGAATAACTCCTCATAAACTTATGAAGTGTTTCAGCAAGATTTTTATTAACTGAAAAATAGCACTCCAAAATATCTCTTCTCTGTTCCAGTGGATATGGCATCGTGAAAAAATTGTCGAAATTTTGCGCACTTATGTCACTGAAATGTTGACCAAATGTCAATTCACTTATTCATCATCTCTTTCTATTTCAACCATAGCTAACTTGGACCAAATAATAATATTTAATTTTGCTGATATTTCGTCAAGCACTCGATAGAATATATGAAATAGTTATTTATTATACAAGGGAAAAAAGTAGTAGATTTTAGCTCCAGGTTGTGTTGTCTCCCGACGCGTAGCGGAGGGAGACAAAAAACCGTGAGCTAAAATCTAATATTTTTCCCGTGTATAATACACTATTTTTTTCTGTGACAGAAGGAAGGACGAATCAATATTGAGAAGATATTACAATATTTCGAAATCTGAAAATTATCGACGTGAAATTTCAAGTTTTTAACAGTAGGGACACCTGCGTTTTATAGACATCTTTATCATTCTTTTGAAGTAATCAAATATCTGATGTCACTTTCTGTCAGTTCAATTCTGTGATTCGATTTCGAAAAATTGCGAATTCAGTAGTTGTTTAGTAATATACGAAACCGCGAAGTCGAATGGAAGATAAAAGAACTTGCAGTTCTTTCTCGGAGACGGTATTATCGACTCATTTTTCGGAACTATAGCACAACAAAAGCCATCAACAGAGTATATTTATGTGATATATATCCGGGAAAAAAGTACTCACTTTTTTCCCACGGGAAAAAAGTAATTTATGAAAAGTGACATTTTATAACCTGCCAACAGGGATGAAATGCCAAACTTTTTTCCCGTCACAGAAAAAAGTATATATTTTCAAAATCAGGAAAGATAGCTCTTTCGAAATATGCGATAATATATAGGGGGTTCCATTTGAGAAAAATTGTTTTTTTCAACTACCCTGTATATGAAATGATAAAATCAAGCAGAGAACACATTTTCCAGAAAGAAATGACATCTCATTCAAGTAACTTTTTCCAAATTTAAAATATCTTTTTTCGTTTTCGAGATATCAGCTGTTGAAGTCGAGAAATCCATAGTCAATCACCCTGTACGCTTTTTTAATGAATACGAATGTACACACTTATACCTGCAATGTGTGCGTTACACTTGTATATTCTAATCGTTCATAAATACTATTGTGTTAAAAAGGGATCACAATTCAATCAAAAGCGTAATGGAGCTGAGTTGAATCAACTGGGTATCAAGAAGTTGAGGGTGAAAGACGAACTCTGTGTTTTTTTTCTGTTATATGGTCAAGCCATCAGCATTTCTAAACATTAAATCTATAATTTTGTCAAAATTTCATCAAAATTAGGTAATAAATAGAAGGGTGACAGGGTGATCAATTGGCCAAAGCGAAAGACATCATCGTGTTTCCCGACATCGAGGACATCGATCTCAATTTCTGGAATAGTTCGGTGGATTTGTGGCCGTCCCAACGTGAGTAGATTATCACGAGAAGTGCGAATTTGTCTGAATGGATCTGGTCCAGGACATCCCACGGAAGTCCTCGCGGGGACTTCCACAAAATGTATAGATTGGATCTTCTATAGGATGTTGATCGAGAGACCTTTCTGGGACATTTGAAGGGTATCCTAATATTTGTGTAAAAGTATATCACAGGGAGAAATTAACATCATCCTATTTGTGTAAAACGGGATATCGGGAATGATTGTTCACCAAATGTTGACAGTGAAGTTGTCATAGGTTTTCATAAACTCAGAGCATTAGCTGAGCCAGTTTTACACAACTAGAACTAGGATGCCGCAAAACTCTCTTTTTACTTGTACGCTTGTTTAATGAATACGAATGTATACTTATACCTGCGATGTGTGCGATACACTTGTATATTCTAATGTTGACGTGCATAAATACTATTGTGTTAAAAAGGGATCACAAATCAATCAAAAGCGTAATGGAGCTGAGTTGAATCAACTGGGTATCAAGAAGTTGAGGGTGAATGGGGAACTTTGTTTTTTTTTCTGTTATGGTTAAGCCATCAGCTTTTCTTGGGAACTATAGGTGCGTTTCAGGATAACATTTCTAAACATAAATCTATAATTTTGTCAAAATTTCATCAAGATTAGGTAATAAATAAAAGTGTGGCAGGGTGATCAATTGGCCAAAGCGAAAGACATCATCGTGTTTCCCGACATCGAGGACATCGACCTCAATTTCTGGAACAGCTCCGGCTCACCAGAAGCGCGTTTTTTTTTCTAATTGTAGCTGGTCTATGATATCCCACTGACGTCCTCACGGGAACTTCCACAAGATGTATGGATTGGGACATCCATGTTAGTGGGATTTTTCTGGGTAAATCGAAGGGTATGTCTGAGGTTCATTCCTGTATTACGTCATCAATAGGGGTATTCAGTCGAACGTTCTGATGAGGAGGATGTTGTTCCTAGAGATGGTGAAAAGATCTACTTTATGGAATACGCAGAAGCAATTTCTGCAACGCAAGACTTCACATGAATGTCATTTTATAGACATTCTATCAAATGTACACTTGGGAACATGCATAGGATGTTGTTCCTAAGATTTTTACAATAAGGTAGGTATACAATGTGAGATTTTCAAAGGTTATTTCTTGAGCAGATTCCGTACGGGCATATGACGTACATTTTGAAAAATGTACTTTTTTATTTGCCATAATTCGATTCCAACTACATACATGTACATGTAAAAAAATACAGATGAAAAAAAAATTGCGAAGATGATCGCCTTTCAACTTATTTGAAATTTCGACTAAATCGTAGATTCATGTTTTGGAGTGTTAGCCTGATTTCTTCTTGTTCTTGAGTAGAGCTGACTTCCTACTTCCTACACAGGCAGAAGTGAGTAAATCAATTTTCCAAGTTGTTAATCGGAATTCATGTAGGTTCTGAATCATTATTCATGAAGAATTGGAAACTTCGATACTTTCTTCAACCAATTGTTTTTCTAAAAATAAAGAAAGATATTGACGTTAGTCAAGAACTATTGTATCAAGATAGTTTCCAAATTCAATTCAGAACATGATGAAGCATAGTTTAATGACTCAGGGAACTTGAGGGTGAAAGAGAAATTTTAGTATTTCCCTGTATGAGGGTCAAACCATCAACTTTTCTTGGGAACTACACTTCAGGATAGCATTTTGAAACATAAACATACAATTTGGTCGAAATTTCACTAAAATCGGACAGGCATCAAAACAGGTAACAGGGCGATCAATTTAGCTGAATTTCTTTCTGTCAGTTTTCTTTGTTGGTGAGTGCATGATACAACTTAACACTTCCATTGCAGCTTCTGACTTGTCGGAAGCAAATGCTCGGGTTCTGCTGATAACCTCTGATGAATAATTTGCAGAAGTTCTAGAGAAACTTTTGAATTCAATATCTCCCAAAATGATTTTGTTTTCCTGATTAATGTTCATTTTTTCCAGAGATTATAAGCAAAAAAATTCAATTTGGCAAACTCTGGGAGAATATCCGCTCTTGCGAATATCCAAGCAACCCGCAGTGCCTGCTTCTGCCTAGCCCTTACTAGTAACAATCATCAGCATGTGTTTCGTTTTCCAGAGAACATAAGCCAAAAGTTCGGCAAAAAATTCGGCGAACTCTGGGAGAACATCCGCTCCGATTTCACCTACCCGAACAACTTCCCGTCCTACATGGAGGAGTACGCCGCCGAGGACGACCTCACTCTGCGCGTGCCCGGGGAAGTACCTGCCGCCCCGGGCAACGTGCAGTGTCTGCCACTGCCCGGGCCATTCCTGCCCTGCCAGGACCTCTTCGATTGGTGGACGCTGCGGTGCGGCGTGTGGATCGTGTTTCTGTGCGCCATGTTGGGCAACGGCACTGTGGTGTTCGTGTTGATCTTCTCCAGGAGCAAGATGGACGTGCCGAGGTTCTTGGTGTGCAATTTGGCGGCTGCGGATTTCTTCATGGGCATCTACTTAGGTAGGTGGTTGCGGTCAACGCCATTCTCTGTTGATATCATTTGTATCGAAGACAATTTTTTGGATTGGAGACTTTGCTGTCCATACAGTTCACTGGTTCACATATATGCCTAAGAGCTTACAAAATATGTTTTAACGCGTCCAGCCCACATGATTTATTGTGCACCTCAAGGGTCCCGTCTGGACCCTCTTTTGTTGTTTTAATATAGGTATCAAGCAAACATTCACGACAAAATCAAATTCTTGAATCTTCGAACCTATGCAGACGACAAGTTTTCCATCATTTCGACTCCTCTGTTGCTTGACACTTGTGATGGAATAAACTGCGATTTCCATGCCATTTGTCAATATTCCTTTTAGCATAATTTAATATTGAGTTCCCACAAAAATGTTTCATTTCATTCAGAGGGAGTAAGAGTATACACACCTACTTGCGTATAGGCCATACACAGCATTGTAACATCATTACAGAATCCAAATATATATAATACATATTGCCGTTTGATTTTCTTTTGAGAAAATAAAAGCGAAATATTAACAATCGATTTTCATTCGCCAACTTTGATAGTTCGCAACGGATAGAAAAAAGCTTGGTGAATGAACGCAGTGATCATATCAAAATGAATAATGATAGGTCCCTGCTCGGGCGCCAATTGTCGAACCCGAAATCTCTGCAACGATTCGGTATTAGTGATTACCTGCTGATTGCAAGTATTTATTTCCTAAATTCCGAATTGTACTCGAATGAACCATAGGAGGAAGAAACATTCCAATGAATTCCCGTTTCCTCAAGAACTATGAGTGGCTTATTGCTCGATTCGACCTTATATTCAAGGTTTTCTGGCGGTGGTCGACGCCTCGACCTTAGGCGAGTTCAGGATGTACGCCATCCCGTGGCAGATGTCGGCCGGCTGTCAGCTGTCAGGCTTCCTCGGCGTCCTCAGCTCCGAGTTGTCGGTGTGGACGTTGGCGGTGATCACTTTGGAGAGGAACTACGCCATCACGCACGCAATGCACCTGAACAAGCGACTGTCGCTGAAGCATGCCGGCTACATCATGGTGTGCGGCTGGAGTTTCGCCGTCGTCATGGCCGTTATGCCGATTTTCAATGTGTCGGATTACAGGTGGGTTAGAATGATAATTGGCTATAAGGTTTGTAGGTATGCCAATATGATGAATCGATGTTGTGGCAAATGTAAATTGACATATGTGTCTCTTTATTGGAACTGTAATTTGTCGATGATCAGGTCTTGATCATTCTTTAATTGAGTCGTTGTTCAATAATAATCATGTGCACCTACTGATTATCACTTCTAATTGATTGTGTTGATTATAAAGTTACCTCCATATAGAGTCGTGGTTTGATAACGATAAGATTCGTTCATGATATCATCACTTCTTTAATGAGTCATGGACTATCTACAGAAACGTTTTATTCATCGAATTGCCTCTTTATTGAGTCATGGTTTGTTAACAATAATGTGATGATCATCGCGTACCTCTTTATTGAGTCGTGGTTGGTTAACGATAACAAGTCAATCATTGAGACACTTTTTTTGAGACTCGAATCATTAATGGCAACGTTTTATTTATTAAGTCTCCTCTTCATTGAGTCATGGTTTTTTGAGAGCTATACGTATTGATTATCAAGTCAGCCCTTTAGTCAATCGTGTTTTTCAGCTTTAACGGGTCGATCATCAAGTCACTTCTTTATTGAGTGGAGGTTTGTTGACGATAACTATAGTGAATCATTGAGTCACATCTTTTCAGAAGCATCAATTATTATTGAAGATAACGTTTTATTGATCGAATCGTGGCCGAGGTCGTGACTTGTGAACGATAACGTCATGCATCATTGGGTCAGTTTTTATCCAGCCTTATTTTTTAGCGATAAATAGCGATTCGATCATCAATAAGTCACGTCTTCGTCCTCTTTGTCGTGATTTGTAAAAACCACATATTGATTTATTAACGATAACGTGTTATTTCTCGTGTTCCATGTACATTGACTCGCTTGTTAGCAATAACGTGTTGATGATCTAGTCAACTGGTTGTTGATTCGTGGTTTGTTAAGAAATAACGTGTTCAATATCGAAAACCTCTTTATTGAGTCGTGGTGTGTTGATAATTAAGTGTTCATCTCCGAGAAACCTCATTATTGATCCTTGGTTCCTTAACAATGATGTGATCAATATCTGGAAACCTCAATATTGATTCATGGTGTTGAAATAACGTGTTCAATATCGAGATACCACTCTATTGAGTCGTGGTGTGATACCTCCTTATCGAGTCATGGGTCGGTAACGATAATAACGTGTTCAATATCATGAAACCTCATATTTTGTCGTGTTTATGATAACGTGTCGATCATCAGTCACTTCTTTATTGAGTCATGGTTTGTTAACGATAACGTATTCAACATCGAAAAACATTCTTATTGAGTCAGCATTTGTTAAGGATAACCTGATCATCATCGAGAAACTCCTTTATTGAGTCGTGGTTTGTTGAAAATATCGTGTTCCACATCAAGACACTTTTTATCGACTCGTTGCTTGTTAAGGATTTCCTGTTGAAGTGTTGAACTTTCCCTCTTCATCGAGTCATGATTTATCAAAGATAATGTATATTGATTACGACGTGACCTCTTCACTAATAATTGGTGGTATTGCATATCAAGTAGTGAATTATTGTCAGCGATCACGCGTGTATAATAAAAATCTAGAAGAAAAAATACATTCAGTGAGCTGAAATTTCATCCGATCGGCAGGAAATTCACTGTCTGCATCCCGTTCGAGACTGGCGACTCGGCCAGCCTGATCTGTTATTAACAATAGCGTATTAATCATTGTAAAACCTACTGAGTCGTGGTTTGTTGAAAACAGTGTGTTCAATATCGAGAAATCTCTTAATTGAGCCGTGATTCGTTAACGACAACATGTTCAACATCGAGAAACTCCTTCATTGAGTCGTCTTGTTGATTGTCGAATCATCACCTGTTCATCGCGTCACGGTTTTCTGATGGTTACCTGACCTCTTCCGCAATTAGAATTGTTGAATAACGAGTGGTAGTTGGTGCACGATCACGACCTTGTAAAATAGAGTCTAGAAAAAAAAAATTCAAATCAAATTAGTGAGTTGAGAGTTGAAATTGAAATTCTATCGGCAGGAAGTTCGCTGTCTGCCTCCCGTTCGAAACTGGAGACTCGGCCAGCCTGGCGTACGTCGTCTTCCTCATGTTCATCAACGGCGTGGCCTTCCTCATCCTTATGGGCTGCTACCTGAAGATGTACTGCGCCATCAGGGGCTCGCAGGCGTGGAACTCGAATGACTCGCGCATCGCTAAGCGCATGGCGCTGTTGGTGTTCACCGACTTCTTGTGCTGGTCGCCGATAGCGTTCTTCGCGCTGACAGCTGCGTTTGGGCTGCAGCTGATCTCCTTAGAGCAGGCCAAGGTACGAAGGTTTGGGGGCTTTTTGGTGGTGCGTTGATTTTCAGCGGATATGTAGATAGAAAACGAAAGTAATCATTATTTTCATTAAGGTGTTCACGGTGTTCGTGTTGCCATTGAACTCGTGCTGCAACCCCTTCCTCTACGCCATCCTCACCAAGCAGTTCAAGAAGGACTGCGTGATGATCTGCAAGGCGATAGAAGAGAGCAGGGTGACGAGGGGCATTGGCCGGTGCAGGCACAGCTCCAACTTCAGCAATAGACAGACGCCGGCGAACACCAACAGCTTGGCAGACAGGTAGACATTAATTACTGTATACCAACTTATAGTACTTAATTTTTTTCTAGCACTAGCTCTAGAGTCTAGAGATCCTTAATGTACTTGACGCTTTTGTGCTTTTGTTTTTAAGTTTTTGTATATTTAGAGTACGGACACTATGACAACACCTGGAAGGGATCCTCTGTGAACGACGAGTGAGGCAAAAAGATTGATCAGGCAATCCGCAGTGGTTACGGATACCTATTTATTTCTATCTTATGCTGGCTATAAAATTACTGTAACGTCTTGAGAATCTTAACCTGGCTTTCGAAAAACCTCGATAAAAGGCAGTTCACGCACACAATAACGTCACCACTCCCGATACCTTCAAGGTCTTCGCGGGAGAAGCAGGACCACCACGCGCCCCAGTGCACGTGCAACGCCAAGCTGCTGGGCGAGCAGCAGCCGCAGGCGCAGGCTCAGCTGCAGCTGCAGCAGCAGAAGACCGCCAACGGCGCTGGCGGCGAGCGGAAGCAGAAGACGACGACAGCGCGCGAATGGCTGCTGAGCAAGGCGCGGTGGCTGCTGTGTGTAAGAAGGCCTGCCAGGCATCGACCTCGGACCGACCAGTACGCCTACCAGATAGCCGAGATACAGCAGAAGCAGCACAAGCGGGCCTCGTCGGTCTCGTCCAGCGAGAACTTCAGCTCGTCCAGGTGAGGGTTTTTACACGATTTCTTTCTGTGACGGGACGAAAGTTTGACATTTCTACCTTCCTTTTTTTCAGGGAGGAAGAAAAATATCCCTCCTGCATAAACACTACTTTTTTTAACCATCTAACGTTACTCGACCTAAATGAACCTTCTTCCTAAGAAGACAGTAGGTACTTTTTTCAGGGAGGAAGGAAAATATTCCTCCTGCATAAAAAACGACACTACTTTATCTTGACAATCTAACCTAACTCGGCTTAAATGAACCTTCTTCTTAGAAGAAATATATTTTTCAACATCGATCAGATTTGGTTTAAGTGTGTTTGAAGACTATGGCTGAATCAAATTGTGGGCGTGAAGAAAGGTATGGGTGAATCGAATTGAGGGCAAATGGGAATGTGGGTAGATCGAACTTTTGGGCCTAATGAGATGTTTCCATCTGTATTAGACAACCAGTACCTGTGTCTCTTTTCCTATATCCTGCGCGATACCTCGTAATGAATATTCCAAAATGGCTCTTCTTCTTTTTGATTTTGTCGAATAGCTTGGCACGCGGAGGATGGTTGCATTGAAGTGCTTTTGAAATTAATGAATAAAGCAATATTTCTCCGATACCACTTGGCAACCACGCATTTCCTCACCACAAGAATCGGATTTTTGTTTACTCGTTACCATGACGATCGTTGCCATGGCAATAGTTTTTTCATAACTGATTCCAGCTAAACTAAACCCGATACAATTTGGCAACCACGCATTTCCTCACCATGGGAATCAGGTTTTTGTTTGCTCGTTACCATGACGATCGTTGTCAAGGCAATAGTTTTTTCATAACTGATTCCAGCTAAACGAAACTTGAGCCATTCCATCTCTGTTGACAGGTCATAAAATGTCACTTTTCAAAAATAACTTTTTCCCGTGAGATTCACGAAGTGGGTGACATCTAGGTTACATAATACGAACTCCAAACTGGGGGAGAACAAACTATTGTCTATGGATAAAGTGCATAGACTTCATTGCATACATCTTGCTGTAGCTGTAGTTGTCAAACTTGTCAATGACATGAAGTGTTATTACTTTTATCAGTACACAGTACACAAGCTAATGGCACTAATGGGATTGAGTGAGGATTGAGTTTGTTTTCCCCCAGTTTTGACGTGGATCTGACAGTCACGATGAAAACCGAGCGCCACCTGGTGACGACATTGATTCCCGCGAATAATTATGGTAGATATTTAATTCAGAATATTTTATGAAACAAAAGTTACAGTTCCTTTATATCAAAAGTACAATTATTGAATGTGCATTGCATGAATGACACGTTTCTGAAGTATTCGGAACAACAGTCGAATTTTCTCGTGTTGAAATTATAATTCTGCCATGGACAGACACAACTGCCGTTGATGTACAGGGTGGGCAAAATTGGGCGTTTTCGCCGTCTCAATAACTAGAGGAGTTATCGAAAAACCGATATATACATGTTGGAATCATCGATATTTCTGGATAATGCTATCAACAGGCATAATCGAGGTTGAAAATGACACTCTGTATATATTCACCAAAGGTGGAAAATGAATATCATAGGTAATGTTATTTCCAGACAAATGGATATTTGGTGAGAAATAAAATGGGAAATTATTCGATTTGATATCATTGTTATCAAGACATTTGAGATACAGAAATAAGACCAATAATTTACTCAATTAGAAAATCAGTAGGTTGCGTTGAAAAATATAGCTTTATAGAAGATGTCCAAATTCCAGATACAGAAGATACGGGGGTGTAACCATAAGAAATGTGACACACTGAATATATTTATGGGAATATATCTGAAATTGTGAAAGGAAAAGGTAGAGTTATATATATATATTTGTAATGAGAACGCCTGGGACTATTCAACTGTGCCAAAATATACGGGGTGTTCCATTAGAAAAAACAGAATTGGCTGCCGTATCTTTTCAACGTCACCCTGTATAAAATTTCTGATGATGCCAATGGATTCCACGCATCATACTGTATAAATATACGTTTGAAATTTTTTGATACCTCTCACCGTAAAGTAGTCAGAAAATAAAATCGAAATCGGCAAATTTTCAATTTCCCCCTGTATCTCTAAAACGAATGAAGATATCTAAATTTTGATTGTGCCATTCGAGGTTTCTCCAAAATTGAACCCAGAACATGTATATCGGTTTTTCGATAACTCCTCTAGTTATTGAGATAGACGGTGAAAACGCCCAATTTTGCCCACCCTGTACCTGGTTTCAAATCGGGTGTTATTTCGGCAGTGCCACAAGTTCTGAATACGTTTATCAGCTATTTCTGTTCTGTGTGATACCGATTCATCAACATATCCTTCAGCGACCGTTGATGACTTCCAACCGCCATATTTCTTTAGTGTCAGCAAATCTACCCCAGATTCAACTGAAAGTGTAGCAGACGATCTTCAAAATAAATGATCGATTGATACATTTTCCATTGCGATATGCATAAAACAGGCGGCGATCCTTTGCTGTTGCTGGACGCAGGGTTATCTATGTTCGGTAAAATTTAATATATTTCTCAGTAACTACAGATCTTTTGTCCACATCATTCTTTTTTGCTTGAGTTTCACAATTATCATCGTTCCTGAATCTCCAATATCATTCAATGTTAAATTCGACAAGCTCCTGCAATCCCGAATACAACAACAAATTTGGCCATTAGATGAACTTCATCGTAAAAATCGCTGCTTTCTTGGGCTTGTAACCTTTCCCATTTTGTTAGAGGAATGTAATTAGTTTGGGATAAATTGAAATGTCTACATTATTATAGGATTGTAACATATACTTTTAATCGATGAATAATTTGATCCTCCTAGATCCGATTCGTGGCGCCACAACCACCACTGCGGCATCCCGTTGCGCCTCCTGGACCCCAAACGACGGGCGTCGTCGTGGCTGGTGACGCGCAAGACGTCGCAAGACTCGAACCTGTCGTCGTCGAGGAACGACTCTTCCGGCTCGGCGGCGACGACAGCCAGCACCAGCACGTGGCGGATGTCAAGGTCGAGCGCCTCGAGCGAGCCGGCAGCGAGGGCGGCCAGGGCGAAGCCGAGGCTGACAAGGCAGTGCGCCGTGCAGGATGAAGGAGAGCCGCCAGGTAGGAGGGCATCTTTAGCGTTCTAATTTTTCTTAATTTTTGCTTATTTTCACCAACGTCCATTATCTTTTCCTAATTTATCCTAATTCTTCCAAATCTTCCCTGATTTTTTCCAATTTTTCCTGTTTCTTCAATATCTTCAATCATCATTTTCCTAATCTGTTCGATTTTCCCTAACTTCTTCCGAGATAGAACATCATATTGGCTAGAATTTGGTTTCGCATTTGCCTAATGGACGTACTCGGAACGTCCTGTGCTATCTGGAATACTGCCCCTCCTTATATATCACATAGTGTATACGCAACAATATTCATCATCCCTTTTTTCCTCCAGGCTCCCCGGGAAGACTGACCGTCCGCTTCCTCACCACTATTCCCTCCGCCGCCGAGACCAGCATGCAGCTGGAAGACGACCCGCCCCCGTCCACCCCTGCCCCCCTCTCCCCCGTCGCCGCCCCTGGCCCCGCCATCCTCGTCAGCCCCGCCAAGGAGCGCGACGGCCCCCTCTATGCCATCCTCCACTCGACCCCGCCCCCTCCTCCCGCCCGCCGGCAGTCCGTCGTCACGTTGCACCCGACAGAGGGCGGAGACAGAGGCCACGCCCCCAGCGATTCTGGATGGAGCAACGGGGCGGGGCCAGGTCCGTCCAGGTAATAGGGTGGGGCTGCAGACAGTCCGTCGTCGTGAAGCACCTGGTAGAGGGCGGAGACAGAGGCCACGCCCCTGCCAACAGCGTAGCAGGTCGGAGTAACAGGGCGGGGTTGAGGCCGTCCAGGTACTAGGGTGGGGATGGTTGCAGACAGTCCGTTGTTGCGTTGCGTCTTATGGAAGGCGGGGATTGTGGCCACGCCTCCAGAGATTCTAGTCGAAGAAACGGGGCGGGGCCGTCCATATAGAAGTTAGGAGGCGTGAGCGTGTTTTCTAACGAGAAAGGCGAGCTGAATTCGTCGATAAATACAATACAATGTCTGCGAGACAGTGGATGGAAATCTGGATGGTCGCTTGTGCATCTCCGATATTTGGTAACCTCAAGATCTATGCAGACAAATATGTCACATGATCAGCATTATGGGTTTTAGAAACAGTGAACAAGCTTTGGTAAACAATCAAATTAACCAGATAACAAAGGATTTTTTCAATTCCAGGGTCGGTTATTTTTGAACACAAATCGAACCTGCAAATTCATAATCTCATACTTTCTTCCACTACTCTACTGATAACATTTCTTGTTATGGCACTCACAATGTATTTGTAATAGCTGATACTGAAATCTGTCAGATCGTGAAAGCTACTACATGCATAAATACATAAGTGAAAGGATATCCATGAATGTGAATAAAATCAAATTTTATGTCTCAACATGTCCATAAAAGTGTTACTTTTTGTCTCCAAGAATAAAACATGCTATTTTTTGTTCGTCGAACGTTCGAGATAAAATACCTCCGAATGGACATGTATGCAAAGTAAACCTTTTCGTACGTTTGAAGAAGAAGGAGTTATTTTGTTATTTGTTGGAATAGGTGCATAAGATCCGAAAAGGAATCAAATGGCTCTATGAAATCTCAATTTTCTGTTGATCACTCTATACATATTTCTGTTGAATGTTTGTACAGCTTTGAAATCGAAACCATTTCGACTGTGGAAATAATGGATAGACTGTATAGGTACAGGGTGAGCATATTTTTCAATATTTTAATAATACTGAAATAATGGCGTCGTCGTCGAATTCTTTTTGGCGGAAACATATTTTGGTATATTTGGAATGAGCTGGATTTATCGAGAAAAGTTTGTGGAAAAATCTACTTTCTTTCGTTGAAAATATATCTTCATTACATAGCTTCGCCTAGACGTGTGGGAGCAAATTTTTAGATTCTTGAAATTATTTCTTCTTCTCAATTTCAATATCAATATCAAATGTATGCCTTGCTTCTCCAATTTGATTATTGGTACAGACTACATTTCTGTTTTTTAATGCTCTTTCGAAATTTTTCATACGATGAAAAACTGTTTTTTTTATATATATATAATAATCTCTCGCTATTTGTTCACGAGTTTTGTTTTCATGAATCCTTTGAATATGGCAAACATAGATGACATGATTATTTCAGTTTTCAAATGAGTTTTCTTCAGATTTTCACTATTAATTGTTTCTACTACTTGTAATAGCTCTGCATGAGGCTCTTAGACATCAACATTCGCTCACCCTGTATACCTACAAAGTAAGTGAAAACAGTCAACAATAGCCTTAGTGAGTAATTGGAAATGTGAAATTTATCTGGATTTTAAGGACTTTATTTTTGTATCTTGAAATTGAAAAAAAAAACTAATGAAATCACATCATTCATAATGACTCAACATCGCACTGAATACCAATATAAATATGCCTCTGTCAATAATCAGGCACCAGATCTATAAAGTCTTTACAAAGTCACTTGAGACTAATTCAGAAACACGCGGTCCATTTCAACTTTTCAGAGGGAGTTTGCAACTAATACCTTCTGCAATGCCGCTTTTCCTCAACTTATCATCGAACTCATACCCTAACAACACGGGATCTTGCTGGTACATCGCGCTAAGGTCTTACAAATGTCCCAATGTTTCAGACTCAGGTACGATATCCCAGAGATGTTTCTCTTGGGAAATCCATCAGATGTTTTCATTGGATGTTCTAGAAACATCCCATTTGATCTTTTTTTCATAAACAATATCATGGTTCCATATCTGCTAATGATGATTGACATGATTGAACAGTTCAAACAATTGTGACATTTGAAACATTGAAATGTTGATAAAAAATGGAAATCGAAACTGTATTCGTACATATGTACTCATACCTATACCAAAGCCGGCTAATTTCATTGATAACAAATTGAAATAATCATACTAAATATTCCTCAATAAGATTACCAAAGTACCTGCTTAACTTCATGAACCATGTAATAAACGACAAAATCAAAATATATCACTTCAGCATATTTATTGCTGACTTTATTTGTTATACCAGCCGATAGATGGCTGTACAACTACGTTGCTAAGAGTTACTAACAGCCGTCGGCCCAGCGCCAACAAATATGAGCCTCAAACAACTCTTATCAACTTATCATCTTCTTAGTTATTGGACAGCACCGACCTTATATTTTCGGATTCGGATTGTTACTTGATATTTGGAAATAGGTAGGCCATTTTCAGGATTTCAGATTGAAAATAATTCATACCGTGTCATCCATTACTGAATGTCCCAAGGAAAATAGGGATTTCCCAGAGATGTTCCTATCATCCCATATGGATGTTTCTACGACGTCTTACAGACGTTATTGTGTTATTAGGGTAGTCTATCAATGAGTTCCAACTTTTTTGCCTTGCTTATGCCTTATGTCTTCAACAATGATTGAGTGCCACGTGACCATTTTTGATGCGACATCTCTTTTCCACCCACGTTGAAGAGAAACGAATGTATTCTTGGTTGCATATACAGGGTGATCCATGGTGGATGGCCTATTAGAAGTATCTGGAGAACGAAAATACAGAACATTCTGAAAATTGGGATACTTTGATAATTATTGTACATTCTCTATCCGTCTAAAATATTTTCATCGATACAGTGTTGCCACGTCTATTAGAAACAACTAGCAACTTCGTTATTTTAAATGGAGCACCCTGTATTTTATTGCATTTTTATATTCTTCCTGAAGAGCTGATTTCATCAATGTAGCACACTTGGGGTCTAGCTGTAAAGGTTTCAGGGATATAAAGTGTTCAAAATCGAGATTTTTCAATTATAGAATTTTTTTGTGTCGAAACTATCCATTATTGATCAAAACGGCCCACATGTCCCTATCTTAACTTTCGATTTACTATCTACTGACATTTAATTGGAACAGATACAGGGTGATCAGAATTCTGAATCTTGAAGCACCCTGTATTTTTTCCAATAAAATTCCAGTAGTTAGTGAATTGAAAGTTGAGATAGGGTCATGTGAGCCGTTTTGACCGATAATGAATAGTTTCGACAAAAAAAAATTCTAAAATTGAAAAATCTCGATTTTGAACACCCTATATCTCTGTAATCATTCCTGCTAGACCCCAAGTGTGATGCATTGATGACATCAGCTCCCTAGGAAGAATCTAAAAATGCAATAATATACAGGGTGCTCCATTTAAAATAACGAAGTTGCTAGTTGTTTCTGATAGAAGTGGCAACACTGTATCGATGAAACTATTTTAGACGGATAGAGAATGTCTAATTATCAAAGCATCCCAATTTTCAGAATGTTTTGTCTTTTCGTTCTCCAGATACTTCTAATAGGCCATCCACCGTGGATCACCCTGTATAGTAAATCTGTCATGTGGTTTTCAATTATTGTTGAAGACCCGTTATTTTATCCACCTTGTAGGGCGGAAAATAGTTTTCGAAACTATCTTTCATCGACCCACCTCTGCTTCCTCATAATATGTTTGCCATCAACCTCGTATAATCAAAAAATGTATCACCGTCACCAATAACAAACAAAATATTCACAAGTTGAGAATTCCCTGAAATAACCATTTTTTTCTGTTTCTTCCGCCAGACAAAAAATAATATGCTGCAAAATTCGTTAAGTTATACTATCGGTAGCACCAATAAAAAAATAAAGGGATCAAAATAAAATTTGGGGTAAGACCCCTTTTCTCCGCCCAAAGTTCTACACTGTAGCAATTCTGTCACGTCTGCACAAATTTTCGTGTAAATTGTTTTAGAGTGGCGTATAGGTACTTGATTTTTTTTTTCGTTTCTTTGTTCAATTTTCGGCATGAATTTTCTTGTTAATTAGAAGATTTAGAAAAATCTGATATTTGGTATATTATGTATATGTAGGTACTTATTTCAAAAGACGTCACTCTGTTCGTTTATCCAATAATAATTATACTATTCAAGAAAAGTCGAAGGAGACAAGATAGGTTTCGAATTTGAATACTCTTTGACATAACTTTATTGAGATATCATAAAAAAACTATAATCGTCCTGTTGAACTACAATCCCCTGTAACTTCTTGATGCACATGCCATCTACTTAGAAATCTATATAAACAGTAAATATATCCCAAAAATTTCTTCGAGATCTATTTCTTACTTGAAATTACCTCGGAAAAACATTGTATCACTCTGTATTATATGACCAACATGAACCGACACTCTTTTGATTAGGCAATCGAATTTTTTGAAAATTCTTCTTGTGAATGATCTGTGATTCAACCCTTTTCAACCTGAAATCGCGGAACACAAACGAGTAGCTGGCTTAACCAAAGTTGACTTTGGAATTATTGAGAAACCAGCTTGACAAAAACATCTAGCTAGGAACGAAAGCGCCAGCGTGATCGTAGATCAAGTAGGTAGTTTCCAAGGAGAGTTTCTGCTCAGATTATTTACGATTTCGTTTGGCATTCTTTTCGTTTTCGATATGGTCTTTCTTTATTCTACTGTATATATGACCAACATGGACCGTCAGTGACCGGCACTCTTGATTAGGCGATCGAAATTTTTTGAAAATTCAAAAAAAAGTTCTTTCTATCTCAACCTGAAATCTCGGAACACTCGCAATTAACTGGCTTAACCAAAGCTGGCTTTGGAATTCTTGAGAGACCAGCACGTCATTGACGCCAATGCGATAAATAGGTCAAGTAGTTTTTGCTCAGATTTTTTTGGCACTCTTAGATTCCGTTCTTTCTCAATTCGGCGTCAAACCTGAGTTTAGTTGTTGCTCTGAAATTTGTTGTGGTTCGTTATTATTTTTTAGGTGCGACGGTTTCAGTGCGTGTTTAAAGATTTCCAACTACTAAAAATCAAGAATATAGGTGAGTGTGTAATGCGTTTTCGAAAATCTACAATCATTTCATAACATCATAGAGGTTAGCGATATCGAAAGGTACGAATATCTAAAAAAAAACAATGCAAATTAACTAGATGAGAGGTTTTTGGAAAACACAAATGAAAGAGATTACCTGTTTTGTAGTACAATTATAGATACTTATACAAAGTGAATGATAGTGATGAGTCCCGCTTCAGGTGTAACCAACTTTGCATATTTCGAAGTGAAATAAACGATACGATTCTTCTTACAAAATTAACTACACAAACAAGAAGACGTACCAAAAGTGTGGTCCATGAATTGAGTTTGGTTCATTTCATATGGCTTCCATTGATATAAATACATCTCAAAAATCAGGAAACTATTATATGCATTATTTTATCACGAAAACTGATTGCATAGGGTATTTTATTTGCTCATCAAATATCCGTATACGGAGTTTTGGCACTTTCGAAGGAAAAGTGAGGAAAGTCCTTTTCCAAACATGATAGATGACCACTTATTGATGCTTAAAAGGGTTTTTGGGAAATGTGCAATTTTGAGAGTGAATGCCATTTATCAAAACAATCACAAATTATCAAGTTTGTCAAAAAAAACTATCCTGAACCACTAAAGTTATAGTGTCCCTCGAGGTGTCCCTATCAAGTTAAATAATTTAACCCGTTATTGTTAAGGAGAATTCCTGTTTCCTGACTAGATTTACGGGGAATGATATCACTGCCTGAGGATCGATACATTTCAATGATGAAATCAGTGATTTGGAAATGTTTTCATGAAAACAAATTATTCTTACCAAGAAAATTAGTTTTAGCCACTTGAAAAAATGCACATTCTTGAAAAATACCCCATAATCCTCACGACTGAGCTATAGTCACGAAAATTGATCAATTTTAGATTTCTCCTATCTATAGTTTGAAAATAGATATAGTATATGACTTTTTTCCCACCCTGTACAAGATATTTTGATGAAACTCTTTTTAAGAGTATTTGGTGAATTCCATCCAAAATCACCAAACTTTTAGCCTCCGTGTCGGTCTCCTATACACCCTGTAGATATGTTTGTTAAAACTTCTCGATTATCTACTATACAGGGTGAGTCATTAGTGTGGCAAAGTGAGATAACGGCTTCACTGTTTCAGATAGATGAACAAAAATTCTAGAGATGAACTAGGATCCTGAGCAGCACATTTACAAATTATTTCGCTTTATACAGGGTGACTCAGAAATGCGTGACGTATCGAAGTTATACTTTTTCTTATGGGGCACCCTGTCTTTCATTACATTTTCGCATTCTCCTTTGTGAGCTAATTTCATCAATGCATCATACTTGGGGTCTAGCGAGAAAGATTACAGAGATATAGGGTGTTCAAAATCGAGATTTTTCAATTTTAGGATTTTTTTGCGTCGAAACTATTCATTATTGGTCAAAACGGCTCTCATATGTCCCTATCCCAACTTTTGATTTACTATCCACTGACATTAAATTGGAACAAATACAAGAGTGATCAGAATGCTGAATTTTGAACCACCCTGTATTTGTTTCAAATAGATGTCAGTAGATAGTAAATCAAAAGTTGAGATAGGGACATAAAAATCGTTTTGACCAATAATGAATAGTTTCGACGCAAAAAAATCCAACAATTGAAAAATCTCGATATTGAACACCCTATATCTCTGTCATCATTCTCGCTAGACCTCAAGTGTGATGCATTGATGAAATCAGCTCAAAAAGGAGAATGCGAAAATTCAATGAAATACAGGGTGTCCCATGAGAAAAAGTATAACTTTGATACGCCACGCATTTCTGAGTCACCCTGTATAAAAAGAAATGATTTGGAAATCTGCTGCTCATGATCCTAG